ATATATATATATAGCACAACAAATAAATCCAAAAAGGATAAAGAGAAAAACGAAGAAAATTAAGTAAAAGCAATAAGCTTTATTTAATGTGCATTAGCTGTAAGTATATAGAAGAACTCATAAAATAAGTTCAAAATGTATAGAAAACAAGTAAAAAAATGCTAAGGCTAATGAACAAAGATGAAATAAAGAAAAAAGAGAAGAAAAAAATTATTGAAAAGGAAATAAAAAATTAATGAAAATCCGAAAAGAAAAGATATAAGCTTTTCATTAGCTCACAAGTATATACAATACAATATTAGAAAGCACTCCTTTTTTGTGGATATAATCATGTGAGCTGATGAAAAGATTATATCTTGTATTTTCCGGATTTTAATAATTATTTTTCCCTTTTTTTCGGATTTTTTATTTATTTATTCTTAATAATTATTTTATTTTTCTTTTTTCATTATTCTCTCTCTATATATTTAATTTTTGTTGTAGCACTGATTTTTGGGCAACATCATTTTAGCAGTTGCGTCGATGACAAAAACTTTGAGAAACACAGATGTTTTGTTGTAACACAGTCCCAAGGTGAGGTTAATAAGTTTTATGTTCCATATTGTTTTTAATTATTTTTGTTACTGTGTGCAAACTATTATTATATTCTTTGTTTTAACTAATATTCTTCTAAATAAGGAAAAATATTTAAGCTGTTTACTTCATTTTTTCTTTTGATAAAACATTTTTGTTTGGTTTTTATTTGAAAGCTTTAGTTTAATTACCATTTTTTTAATATTCGTATATCCCACTTTTCATCAAAGTGATTTTTAACCCAACACTTGCAACGTTTTAGTGTTCACGTTTCACAAATTTTGCAACTGCTCTTAAACTTTTTTTGCATTGAACATGTTATCAAGCACGTAAAAAGGTAAATAAAATAAATAAATTAGTGGTTCCCCAATTGATTCTGTTTTACATAACATTTTTAGTGTTCCAAAGCAGACAAAAATCCCCAAGTTTATTCTATCTAACACATTCTTTCGCTTCATGTGTTTCCATTTTTGCAAAAAGACAAAATTATTTTCTGAGCTTTAGAATACCACAACTGTTTAACCCCACCTTTTTTCCCCATATTGACAGTTAGGGTGAGACGATGGTTGAATCAATAATTTTAATACAAATGTGCTTCGGGAAAAATAAGGATTTCGGTATTTCTTGCTAATCGCGAGAAATCCAAGGCCCAGAAGTTTTAAGAAATAATCGATTACATTTATGCATAAAAACTCTTGTATATTTTATTTAGAAATATTAGAACTAGAATTTGTGCTTGACCTATTTTTCATTTGTAAATATTTTTTCTTTTAGAATAATAAATGTGATTAGAGATAAAAATAAACTTATACATAATTATTTATATAAATTATGCTACATGTAATTTACTTAGAATTTCATGTTTTGAAAATATCAGCTGCTTAAATTTATAGAGACATTAATTTTTTGAAATGTGTCAATGATTTTACTCAAGAAATTTTCAGGATTTTTGAGTTGGGCTCGCGATCACCACTGATATACTTCTGATTGTCTGCCTATAACTTTTGGTTGATCCGGATTCAAAAATATTAGGAATTATTGACATTCATTATTTCATTAGTTTGTACGTTGCAGTGCGTCTACCACTACAAAAATACAATTCCAATTCACTAATATATAAGACATGTTAACGTGATTCTATAGTGGGGTACATTTTCATAGATAAAGGTTGACATTGTCGACAACTCCTCTCCTCACTTTGGTGACCTTTGGACGCGATGAGAACATGCCGACCTTGGCAGAAACTTCCACTTTGATTTGAACACGCCTACTTTTATGGATTCCTCATTAAACAGTTGACTTGCCACTTGTGACTGCGACATTAATCACCTCCTCGTGTTGTTGCTTCTCAGTCTCGATCACACATAACGTTGGCCTGAACTGCTGATGGCAACACATGAGCGACCTCGATCGTGAACTAAATGGAGCTCTCACAATCAACACTCAAAAGTATGGTGATCTTAATACAGCTCTCCTGACTTCTCACAAAACAGCATTGAATCTACCAGTGGTATCCATTTATTGAATTCTATCTCATATAAAATTCTGGTGGGGGTGTACTGTAGTGTATCTACCACTACAGAAGATACAATTCCAATTCACTAATATATGACATGCTAACTCTATACTATGTTGGGGTACCTTTTCATAAATGAAAGTTGGCATTGTCGATAACTGCTATCCCCACATACATTTTTTTTATTTAAAATTCTTAGTTTATTTACCATTTTCATAATATTAATTTTTATAATAATAAATTCCTAATTATATATGTACAACTCCTGTTTATACTTGATTCAAGATGTTAGATTAGGAAATATTGACATCCATTACTTGCTATTTCTTATGATAGTTTTTAATTTTTTCTCATTTAAAGGTTTCTACTTTATTTACTGTTTTCATAACTTGAATATACTGTAAATTCTTGGGGCCCTACCAGGGAATTTGTGGAGTCAAAGTTGAATTTCCTGAAAAAAACCTAAATCTAGAATAGGAGATTCCTCAAGCTTTAGAAATCTAGTTTCCGAAGAAACATGGATTTACCGCTAAACAAAATATAAGATATTTAAAAGTGGGTGGAGTTTCAGATTTAACCAATCATCAACAGGTTTTAGTGTGTAGTGCGTGGCCAGAAGGAATAGATTCTTATACAAAATACAGAGTGTTAATATTGATCAATTTTGATATTTTCCAGATTTTTTTTAACGGAAATTTGAAAGCGCAATAATGAAATTCATTTTGAAAGTAATATTTGTTTCAGAAATATAATTATTTTAATATATATGTCTTTATATTAATATATCATAAAGATTAATTTTACTTTAATTACCGAATTTATTTAAATGTAAAACGTATTGTATTTTTTATGTTGGAGAATAGAATATTAAAGACTGCTAAAGCATACTGTGTATTTTTAAATGATGATGATATGATTCAATCTAATTTAATACTTGTGGCTTCCAAAATTTTATGTTTACTCTTTGTTTTGTGTTATAACTCATCCATAAAATATGATTAATCAAGGAGCCAATGATACATACAAGTGTATTTAAAGAAAAAAGTTTCGGCTGAAATTGTTATTTTTTTTCTTCAGTAGAAAATCAGTTTGAATTTAATTTAATATTGGTTTTATTTTTGTTACATTATGTGTATGAAACTAAAAATATTCCAATGTAAACTTTAAATTGAAATATAAAAATTTTGATATGATTTTAATATTCTCTGTTAGAAATAATATTCTCTGCTAAGAGTTGTATTTAATTTGAATTAAGCTGTTTTAAACTAGGAATGTGACGTGAGGAATAATAAGATAGATTTAATTTTATTTTCACATCTAATAAATTAAATGTTAAGAAATAAAGTATATTTAAGATTAATAACAAATAATATTTCTACAGCCAATGAATAATATTTAAATGTACTAAAATGCTGAAGTTTTCATGAAATTCAAAATTTAGCATACAGCTACATAAACTATTAAATATATTTGAGAATACCATTTATAGTTTCAACTTATTTTTAGTTTCTTTGATTATACAATTGATGGTTTCTACATCAGTGTGTTATAAATCAATTTTACTTAAGGAATATTTTTTAGAAAAAAATTTCTATCTATTTATGTATTTTTTTCTATGTTTTATATATTTTTTTTCCTTAAAATTTCTATATTTTATAATGTATTTCTTCTATTTTTTACTGGATTTTGAGACCCTACCCCTTGCTTGCACCGATTCACAGTCATAATTCTTTTTCTTTGCTTAAAAGTCGGTATACATTATTACTTTTCATTATCAAAGGTAAAAAAGATCATCTCTGTTTATAAAATATATAGTTATTGCAATGATATGTATTAATATAATAATATCTCAATCGTAACAATTAGCTGCATTTGAAAATTTCAACTGTACTAGACAAAAATATTTAATCTTAATAATACTAAATGATCAACACAATCAAAAACAGGAAAATATAAGTTATTTTACTTATTAACATAATGTAATGATAACCTTCAGTTCAAATTGAAAAAAACATTTTATGTCTCTTGAATCTTTAATATTTTTAAAAAATTTTAATATCAAACGTTAAGATTTATTTCTGGCAACATCTAACCTTAGTTTTTTTTATGTATTCAATTTTATTTTTTTTTTGTTTATGATATCAGGCACGGTGCAAGCTATAATAAGATAAATATAATTTTTACAATAATGAATAAATAATTATTAATAAAAAATAAAAACTGAAGAAAAAAATTTTTTTTTTTTAAATATCCATTTATTTCAAACTTAAATATAATGTTACCTCTATGGTAAAGACACTTTACAAATAACTTAAAAATAAAATGAATCTCAAGGAAATGTGAGTTTAGATTTATTAAGATTCACTCTAAAATTAATGAAATGGTTTGTTCAATTGTTTGTTGAAATTGTTATCAGGCTTTCACCGACCACAGTGCTATAGGTAAATATCCTTAGTGGTAGAGGGATCATGGGTTGCAGTTCCTTTCCCGTTAGGCTAACCGTGGGAGGTTCTCGAACTCTTCTCCATGTAATGCAAATGTAGTAAAATTCCGTCAAAATGTCCTCCGCGAAGGCAAATTTCTCTTAATACTTGATCCAGGAGTTCCCTTGTCTTCTGGATTGGGTTCAAAATTACAAGGCTACGGAGTTGAACATTAGAAGTCGTAAACCAGAAAATTGGATCGGCTATTTAAAGACGGTTATGAAATAAAGTATGCCAATAACATAAAATTTGTATTAAAATGTTTATGGAGTCACATTAACTTAACTGTATGTAATTAGTAAATTATTTGTATGTTATTTTAATAATTTTTTTGCTCCCTTTGATCTTTTTATTACATCGCTGATAATTCTCAACTTTCAATTCCTTATTGTTTCTTTCATTTTTCCAAAGGATTTGATTAACAGCCCGTTTACTTCAGATTTTTTATGTTAATGTGATAGATACCTAACTTACTGCTTTTTTTTAGCTTTCTTTAATATTTTTTTTATTGTTTTTAAGATTTTGTATAAAAATTTTAGTTTTGAAATTTCACAAAAAAACATGGAGATTTCTTGGTATTTTTTTGTTAGAGTCAATAGATGGATATTTAGGTATCAAAGAAAAGTAAGTGAAATTTGATTTTGCTAACATTAAATATTTTAGATGTATAACCAAAATAATTATTTCTTTCTTAATAAAAAGAGATATTGAAAATTATGTACAAAGTAGTTAAATACTTCAATTCCAAAGGATAGTTGTGAAGTGCAGCAGAAATTCCATAAGAATTTTGAAACCAATAGAAAATTTTTAAAAAAAAAACAATAAAAATTTAATTGATGAAAAATTTAAAAATGTCATGTTTATATTTTTCATTGTTTTCTTCTTTTAAATTTTCTATTTGTTTCTAATTCCCTTTTGGTCTTAACCCAATTTTGTCAATTTAGTTTTGTAAAAAAGAGTTTGATCTATAATACTATCTTTCCTTAAAAGATTATTCATTCTACCTTTTATGTTATAAACATGTAGCTAATTGTGATTTTACTTTTTATATTTTACTTCTTTGAAGCTTCTTTAATCGACTTAAATTATAATCTTAGAAATTACGGTATTTTCTAGTTATATTGCATTTTTTAGATATCCTGTCTTTTATGTGATGATAATATGTAATGGTATATATATGTTTGAAAACGTTAATGATTATTAATTTTTTTTAAGGTCAAAGAAATGACTTATTATTCCACGACTAGTGCATCATTTGTGCCATTTAGACTGCATTCGATTGTTGAAGATGTGGATAAAAACAGGTGACTTTCTTTTTTCTTAACTGCTGAGTATTATTAAATTTGTTATTTAAGAGTTTTTTTTTTTTGAAATATCAGTTTTTATAATTAATTTTAATTTAAAATTCGGTTTGTAATAACATTGCTTTTTTTATAATAATTATGATCTAAACTGTTTATTAATTTTAAATCCAAAGAAAGAACATGCATTTTATAGCTATTTTTGTTTTTTTCAAGTAAAATTTTTTATTAACTTGTATTGACTATTCATTTTTTATTAACTTGTAAGCTGACTTTAAAAACTTCAGGATATTTTAGAGCTTAGCAAATATGCCAATTGTAGCATAATTTACAATGCATGTCAATTTGTTTTAAAAATTTATTTTAATAATTAATATTATGGATGTGAGAATAGTCTATTCACTGAGTTTGATATTTTTCTTAATACAAGTATGCAGAATATAAATTGATTTTATGATCTTTTAATTCTTTTTCATATTATTCTGTTACTACTACTATATTGCAATAAAATGCAATGCAAAAAAACTAGTTGTTTTTTTGCAAAATTAAATAAAGTAAAATAAGGATTTTTTTAAAGAAATATTTATAAAAATAGCTGTATTTTTTATTAATGTATTTTACTTGCAATAGGTAGGATAAATAATTTATTATTGATAATTCTTCTAATAAGTGATTTATATGTATAAAAAAATGACTGCCTGGTTTCCAAATTCTTCTAAATATTTAAAGTAGCCAAAATCGAATCTCATAAAATTCAAGATCAAATATTCCTTAAAACATCCATTACTTAAAACATTCCTTAAACAACAACAACATTTCAATAGCATCACAGTTAACTCCCTGAGTAAAATATTATTTATTTTATTAATGGCAGATAAGTTTTTACCTTACAAAAAAATGAAATTAGTAAGAACAAGCAAAATACTATTGTATTTTGCAGAAGCTTTTCCTCAACTCAGGGTTACAAATTTCAATCAACCTGTAGTTACTCATATTGTTATTGCCTGAAAGATATTTATTAATGTACATGATTGCAATAAATAATATTTATTATAAAATCTATTAACAGTAAGAAATTCTTTTCAATTCATTACTTTGGTTTCATCACAAGTTTTCGTTGCAATATTTTTTAAATACAGTCAGACTTCTTTTTAAAGAACTTATTTTGCGAATTTCTCTATTTTGCGATTTTTTTTTCTTCAAGAAAATAAGAACATTTTACAAATTTCATGGTAAAGTAACTTTCTAATAGAAGTGAATTTTCTATTTAACGAACTTTTCTTTGAGATCCACATGGTTGAAATGTTCTGAAATATTTCCCAAAATATTACAGAACATTTCAAACTTGTTGATGCATTTTGTGAAGGAAATGACCTTGAATTGATTTTTTAAGCCACTCAACTTTTAAAGAAGGCAGTAAAATCCCTTTCCCTTTTTGCTACCATTTCAAAGAAAACTGAGATGAAATGAACTGATTTTATCAGTAGCAATTAAACTTAAGAACGCATGTGGTGATGTATGTTTAAAATTACTTTTATACTAAATGCAGCTATAATTTTGTACATAAATTTAGCATTTTTTTAGTTGAAAATGTATGTAGCATGTACTGGATAATGTTTTGCTCTGTTCTTGCTTTCTATGCAGATTTCTTTTATGCTTAAGATTTATAAAATAAATAGTAGATGCTAGTTTACAAGATAAAGGTGTATCCATTGGTATTTTAATTATGTCTAGCGTTATTGAATTTGTAACCTGTTTTGTGTTTAACTATTTCAAAAGGTGATTTTCTATTTAGGTAATTTTCCTTGTAACAAATTTATTCTCGGGATTTAGTGACTTCGTTAAATGGAGGGCCGACTGCAATATAATGATAGTACATACTGATTGTGCTTGTCAACCCTTTCAGATTGCTTCGCTATTTGAGCTGATTTTACTCGTTCCTTAGAGTACTTTTTTTAAAGTGTAAATTCTTTCTTAGAAATTTTGTAAAACCTTTGATTTCAAACTACTTGGTATACTACTTAGTAGTACTGAAATACTGCCAAGTGGTTTTTAGAAAAACTACTACTTGGAAATTAGATTTAGACTGGATAATTCATTGAATTTTTCTATGTGACAAAAATATAAATTCAGAGTTTGGAGTTGCAACAGATTAATATATTGGACACCATATGGCATTGATGAATGCCTCTGCTCATAAATTAAATAAGACAGTGTGACTCTTGTGTGCTACACTGCAATGGTGCCATTGCCTGTGCGAACTATTCATAATAACTTCATTAATAAAATTGCTCTATACTTGTACTTGACGTATTACAGTCCTGTATCCCGACATAAACTTGCTAAATGTAGTATTAATAAAATCCAAAGAAAAATGCTTGAAAAGTTTTAAAATATATATATATGTATACATAGATGATTGATTTATGAGGTTTTTGTTCTTTTGCTATTTTATTAGAATACTTCTCTTTCGTGTACAAACTATTAAGTGATCTGCATAAATTATGGAGCATCATGAAAACAAAAAGAATAGTCTTAATTACAGTGTAACCTGTGTAGATTAAAAAACATAATCAAAAACAAAATATAGCTCAGATTGTTGGTTTACATAAACAGTTAGTTTTTAACTTCTGCCTAACTCATAGATCAGTTTTTTTCAGCGTTTCATTGTCAATGCGCAAAAATAAGTTTCATAAGCTTAGTGATAACATACATATAGTGTTTTAAATAAATTCTTTCTGTTACACAAGAAAAATTACTTTTGATAATTAGAAAAGCATTAATTTTTTTAAGTTGGTTAATTTGATGTTTATTCAATTCATTTTAAATTAATTAATGCTGAAAAAATATATTTGAAATTGTCAGCATACTAATAATTTTTTTCTATAGGGATTGTGATTCAACTCTACAATTGTCTTGTAATTTGCCATCTAGCATAGAAGCATTGAATGTTGTACTACATATATCTGTGCCATCTACTACTAGAAAGTACTTATTTGTTAAATATTATAATCTAGACTTTATTTTATAATCGAATAACGTCAATTGTACTTTCAAAAGGAACATATATCTTTGTTTTTCCTCCTGATTATTTTATTTTGCTGATTAAGTTAAAATAATTTATTTTTCCACCATCCTAAAGTTTTTTTTTTGGTTTTTGAAAAAATTTCAATAATTTACTCTTTTAAGTTATTTATATGCAATATGCTTTAGATTTGTAATTGTTTTCATGAATTAAGAAATTTTTTTTTTTATACTCCAATAATTTCAATTGTAATTTCAAACTGAACATATATCTTTGTTTTTGTTCCTGATTATATTATTTTTCTAATTGATTAAGTTAAAGTAATTTATTTTACAACTATCCTACTAAAAAAAAATTTTTTTTTAAATCAGTAATTTATATTACAATATGCTTCTGATTTGTATTTATTTTAAAGAATTAAGAACTAAAAATAGAAAAGGTCTCAGAATTTTTTTTAAAATTTTAAAGTATCTCTCTTGAACTGCTGTGTTAAAAAAAGAAAAAAAAAACGATTTGAAAATATTAGAAGTGGCAATTATAGTAGTAACCGCTGAAATAGAGATCGAAAATTCTAATCTATTCTCTTGGTTAGACTTTCCTTTAAATTAATGCATTTAGTCATCAATTTTCGAAAAGTGCTAGACATTGATTTACACATTTTGGTTAAAAACATGAAATAGGTCAATGTTATAACAAAATTTCTACATTTTTAAATTATGAGTGTCAAATGAAAGACTGTGCTGGCATCATATGATCTCTTTTTTTGTAAGGACTACTTGTATGTGTGTTAATTTTGTTTACTTCCCCGTGGCAGAATCGTGGTGACAAGGCGACAATGTCGCTGGACACAAAATTTTTCCTTTGGGAAGTAAAAAATTTTGGTTTTCTTTCCTTCAAAAGTTTTCGATCTATTTTTTTAATGTAGTTATTACTATTGATTTCCACAGTTATTAAGATCCTATATTTTTAATACAATATTATTTATTACAATAACTGAATCTCAAAATGAAAACTCACATTTATTAATCTCTTTTTGAAAAGTCCGATTCCAGTGATTTTGTTGTCAATTTTTTTTTTTTTTGGTAGTTACTGCAACTGATTTCAGGATATTTTCTAATGCCATGATTTACAAAATGGGAAAAAGGAAATAATTAGTGTGTTTTCCACCTATAAAATACTAGAATATCAACAAAAATATTATAAATGTTCAAATAAAAAAGTTATATAATTTAATTTTTAATGGAAGTTTTTTTTTTGAAGTTCATGATTTTGATACTTTAAATTAGTAACAGGTATAATTTTTATTTTCTAAACTATCTTGCAGAAAGATATTAGTATGAAGGAGGCATGTTGCAGAAAGACCCCAAAAAATTTCTGCTACAGGGGTTTACTTATTGATGAAGACATTTATTTTTTATATGTGGTGGGCTTATAATTTATTTTTAAAAACTTGATTATAAATTTACAAAGAAATTTTACTATCTGAGGCAATTTTAGTATTTAAAGTAAACAATATTTGATTATTGGTGCTTTTGCACATTTCTTCCCCTCCCATTTTTATTCAGAAAATAATTGCATGAGGAATCTATTAAGGCATAAAATCTATTGCAGTGGTCAGAAGCAACGCACTGTACTTTAGTCAATACTTTTCTCCTTAGTTTGTAGTGTAGTGTGCCACTTTTTTACAAAAGTGTGTAGTGACATGGTGCATAGCGTTTTAAAAAGTACTTGAAGGTGCTTATTTTTGATTTTCGTTACTTAAAAGCCCTTAAAGGTGCTTTTGTCATGGGGTGTTTTTAAAAAGTGCTTAACTTTCCCTTTTCGAAAATGAGATTTTTTTTCTTTTTTACCATGTTGATTTTCATCAAGTATGCAAAATCATGGTTTTCACGTTCAATGTTTTTACAATTCATTCAACCATAATCATATACGACGAACCATCAGTACATAGCGTATGAAAGCGCCAATCATTTTACAGGTTTTACTTGAGGCTCCGCATGTGCGTCTACTGAGCTGGGATCGGTGAGATTATTGCACTCTAGTTTGCAACTCTGCTGCATTTTGCAAGATATTTTCAATTTCAGACTTCATTTTCCACCATCAGCAATGATTGCATAGAATCGATATTTTCCGATGCATCGATTTATCACCCAGTCCTAGTGAGTAGTGTGACACAAACAAAAACAGTAGTTTGTAGCGATTCCTGTCAACTAGTTTTAACACTAGATTGCCCAAGGAAGTCATTTTGTCTGCTTTTAATTTCAATTAGAAAAACAATGATGTAAAACATGACACCATTTCTTAGGATTTTGTGCAACATATATTTTTTTTATTGTTAAAACCTCTAATAACTTGTTATTTAACTGTAAATAATATAAAAAATATTAAAAACTAATTTTAAGCAAATTTCTTTACTCATTTATTCTATTACAATCAGTCATTTTGACTGCTTTTGGGCAATATAGTTGTTTATACTAAGTTTCCGTCTTTCTATTGTTAACGGTAGTGTAAAAGAAACATGGTTCTAAAGCATTTAATTTTTCGAATTTGATGGATGCAAATCTTCGCGGGTCCATCAATGGATGCAATGAAATTGACTCTGTGGCTGACGCTGAGCGTTTGCATAGATTTAAACTAGCCATTACAAAAAATAGATAAATAATCACTTTGATAATTAATTACAACTTTATAAGCGAATGCACACTCGTAAAGAATTAATAATATTTTAAACAAATGGAACGTATTTTCAATGTACTTAATTTGTCAGATGAAATAAAATAGCCTAGAACAATTAAAAATCTGATAATTTCGAATAAGTGTTTGATAATTTCGCATTTCTTAAATTAAATATTCGCTGTCGGAAAAGGCATAAAATATTGAAGACTGAACGAACAAATTAAAAAAAAAATGTTTTGGAATGACAAACTCGCTCTTGTAAACTTGAATAAATATTTCTTCAGTATATTTTCTGATATTTAATGTAAGTTAATTTCTTATTCAAAACCATTTTAAACTTCGATGTAAATTATGTTCTCGATCAAAGTCCGTCTCCTTTCAAGAAGTGAAGTAGTCACTGCATTTAAAAAATATTTGCAGGTGTAGTTTACTACATTTGTAACAAAGTAGCTGTAGTTGTAGTAAACTACAAAAATAATGTAGTCTTTTTGACCACTGGATTTGCCCGAAGTTCAATTTTTTTTAATGTTTACTTCTCAGTAAATATTCTAGAACACTTTTAGCTTTCATTCTAATTACAGTAGAAATATTTTTTATTATTTTTTTAAAGAACTCTTGGATACTTTTCAACGTTTTTTACTCTTCCTTTTGCTAGCTTTTTTTTGTTGCTCAAAATGGTAAATTTCTACACGCACGAAAAATTTTCTCTTAAACTACTTCTCCATTAAACTTTGATTTTGAAGAGCGCAATCTTTTTTGTATTCATTTATTTATTTCGTTTGAGAAAATTAAGTTTATTTTAGGATGTTTCTGCGGGGATATAACCCATAAAATATTTGAGAAATATATTCAAATTAATGTTTTCAAAATACCACTTCGTTAAGTTAATGAAGAGTGATAACTAATTACTATCGAACATAACAATTTTCATTAAAAAATATAGCAATTTTCTGAAAATTTATAAAATATGGTTTGAATTGCTGTAAAGATTATAGACTATCGTTTGCCTCCCCCCCCCCCAATAGCCCATCAAAAATATCAGTTTGCTTGACTGCTAAAAACAATGTGCGAAACAAGTTTTAGCTGCTTTCCGTCCAAATTCACCCAGTATCCTTAAAAAGGATTCTAAAGAATATCAAACAGGACGTCCTTCTCTGACGTTATTGCGGCATAGATCAGTGTACATGATTCGTAGCCTTCTTTTCCTAATGCTTAATCCAGAAGTTCCCTTGTCTTCTGGATTGGGTTCGAAATTGCAAAGCAACGGAGTTGAATAGTTGTAGTCGCAAGCCCGAAAATTGGGTCGGCTGTTTACCGAAGGTTATAAAATAAAGTAAAATAAGTTATTCGCTAGCCCATTTGTGAAAAAAAGTTTTGTATTAATAAATCTTAACTATATTTTCACCTGGAAACAAGTTCTTTTTTTTTTTCAGAACGCTATTACATTGGAAGAAATTATTAGTGCATTCCAATCCGAAATAAGTTCTTGTCAGATCATTCGACAAAAAAAAAAAACAATTATGGCACGGCAAAAACAAGTTATAAATATTTTTTGTTCTGGATACCTCAAATTTGAATTCTGCCTTTTAAAGTTAGTTGTTATCCTTTTAGATATTTTCCCAGAATCAAAATCGTCGCTCATTGTAAAGGTTCGTTAGGTCATTTGCATTACTATAGAACACTTTCCAAGATAGGTTTTTATATATTTTATGATCTAAAAACCTACTGTTCCGGATCATAATCGCCAAAAAACATTGAAAAATTATCAAATTATCTTAAAAAAAAAGCCAAAATAAGTTTGAAATAATTTATGACTTAGAAACAGCAATATTAAATCTTGCCTCACGAAGTTATTTTCCTGTAAACATTTGTTACCCCAAGCAACCCACCAAAAGAAATTGAAATTAGACATAGCTTAGCTAGTTTGTGACCACGAAACAGAGGTTCGACAGTTTTTAGTTAACTTTTTAAAAATCGAATATTTTTAGAACAAAATTTTAAATTTTGCACCGCAGAGTTGGCCGTTTATGAGGATATCGTTTGCCTAGTCTTGCACTACAGTTATTCTAATTAGCCAACTTGCTGAAAAGTTATATTTATTTATTAATAATTTTTTTTAAAAATTTGCAATGTCCAAGTGGCTATGCACTGGTCACTGAGATATCATTAGAAAGAATTGAGGTACAAATGTGCTTCTCCAGTCCAAGCTCACCGATTTCAAATCTTTTCTTACCTACTTGCCTCGGAAGTTAAGGCGGCCGGTGCATCATGTCGTTGGTTTCAAAATGGTGGATCCTTAATTATGCACTGTTTGCTCATTGAAGAGAATTAAACAACCCGGCAAAAAACTTTCGTTAGCCCACCTATAAAAAGGGATAAAAAGCCACGTCAAAAACAGGTTCAACTGATTTTTGTCATTTAATTTAA